GAATCAGTCTACAGCACCTACGAAGCCTTGACCCAAACGCGGTAACACGCGAGTTGCGGAAGCTACATTCGCGATAGTTCCATGCTAAAGAGTCTAAGACGCGACTCATCTTAACCGAAGCTGGTCTGGACAACGTCAGGCTTAACCTGATCAAAGGTGTCTGTGACACATGTCTGGAGTGCAGGGCTTGGGATAAGCCAGGGCGTACGGTTATGTCATCTACTGCGCTACCTAGCAAGTTAAACGACGAAGTCGAATGCGACCTGATGTTCTACAGACAGGAACATGAGATATCTCACATCATTGATCGCTGCTTTCGATATGCTACTGGAACTGAGATACCATGTAAAACAATGACCAGTATCTTAGATGCGTATCATCAGTGCTGGATGCAGCTCGGACCCGCCAAGGTACTCTACACAGATGGGGAGGGCGCCCTTCACAACGACACAGCTAAGGCAGTCCTTACAGCGAAGGGCACTGAGTTGAGGACACGCGCGCGTGACAACACGCTACGACAATTGAAGCCAGACATGGCATATTACGCCGTCTACCTCACGCCATGGAAGCTGAATTCAACAGGTTAGACATACCTCTTGTACTCACACGACTGCTGCATGAAGCTTTGTTCGCCGCCAATGCGTTCACCCTCTACAATGAGGTGTCTCCATACAACGCTCTGTTTGGACGGCAGCCAGCAGTGCTTCCTGACCTGCCTGTTCTGGACCATGAACAGCCGACAGAGACATCTGATCATTCCCGAGAACACGTGTTTCGCCGGGCATGCATTGAAGCTATCACACAAGCTATTGCAGTAGCCAAAACCAGCCGTGCACTACGCACTAGGACAACAATCACCAGTCAGCACTACTACGACGAAGGAGACTTGGTCGACTATCATCGCCCCACAAGGACGATTGGGGAGGCTGGAATGGCCCTTTCCCGGTTGTACGGAACGATCCCGACAGAGGTCAAGTCATTCTTCGAGTGGGAAACCGCGATGTACAAGTCCAATACGGCGATGCACGGCATTCAATATACATCGAAGCTTGGATAGCCCGAGAAATTGGTTCTGACAACGCTACGCTGCGAACAATGTTGACTTCTGTCGCCAGTCTACCTGCGGGGAGACCTGCTATGACATTGGGCCATGTCCCGACCAGAAATGGAACGCTTCAGATGACAAGTGCGAGCCGACTATCTCCTAAGGAACATGTAGCTCCACAAAACCTTATCAGGAACTTCTTTCGTATCAAGAATGTAGTCTCTGTTAGGTTCGCGCAGGGTATCCACCAGCTACCCCCGGTGGCTTATGCTGACAGCTGCACACTGGTGCATTATGACAACGACGTGAATCCAGGCTTCCACTACTATGAAGCTGTAAATACTGCCTTGAACGTACATGACATAACCGGATCAGCACAGTTGAGGATCATCCAGTGCCTAAAGTCCACTAAACCTCAAGCGGGCTTCGACCAAGACATGACGAAGTTTGAAAAACTGGCTGGCGCACCGACACAAGACAACAACGCCAGAGAAGCCCCAGAAGCCGAACCACCCGGAGGATGGATGAGGAATTAGGAGCGGACCTTGAGGCACATATTTTGGAGGTGCGCCACACAGAGCTACATGAAGAAAGAGAACTATTGGAAGCAACTCCATTAGACGACCTTTACACTGCACCCACACATACGATCACTGACAACAGTGCGCTGGCCACAGTAGCTGGAGAACAGCGGGGGCGCCTGCCCACGCCACTCCGACATCGAGAAGACGGATCATGTCCCACTTTCATTCACGGGCGAAGACCATAGTTACGGATTGGACTCGGACGAAAACGGTCAATATATAGAACTCTGTTCTACTGCAGAAATTTCCAAGGTAGTCCTATCCGAACAACAACATAGGACATTAGACTTCGACCGCGTGACCACCATGCGAATATATGTAGCCGCCGCCGAAAAAAAAACGAGCTGCGGTCGTCAAGGAGGACGACCTCCTCACGAAGGCCGACATTCAGGCGAATCCAGTTAAGGTATCAAAGGCCCTACATATTGAACTCAAGACATCGTTCGACAACACGCGTTTCAAGATGCACGATATATCCAAGGCATCAATCATCACGACTTCGAGGCACGAATATATGTGACAGTTCGCAAAGAACGAAAGGGGCGAGATGGAACGCACCAGCAGATTACGCTCGGCACAACGGGGTTTCATGGACCTCGAGGCTTTCGACCTGGAAACATTCTCAGGGACGGCACGGTGGCCAAGTCAGAGATTACTCGCAAGCGCGGCAGCGTGCGAGAAGCAATGGATCACTGCTTCTCTTGACATCAACCTTGGCATTCCTGAAAGGGTTAGCCTACCAGGAACTTGCTGAGGCAACCGGCGAAAAGGAACGCGCGGCGCGCTTTACCTCGCCACTTGGATCAGCATAGGCGCTTCGACCCCTCCTAGGATTCGAGCACCACGACGAGTCGAAGCACTGCTTGCAGCGCCGCAAGCCAAGCACCGGCAGCAAGGATGCACCCAGCGCCTTACCACGGAAGCTCAGAAGAACTACGGGAGGCTTTGGTCTCAGACCCACGTCTTACGACGAGGAGTTCGAGACAAGCAGGAATATTCTCACAGCCAAACATGTTGATGATATCAACATGGCCGGCACTGAGGACACCATTGACAAGTGCGTCAAGTGCGTCGAGGACACGTTTGGCAAGTGTAAATTCAACAAACACACATATACCAATTGTTGTGTGAGATACACCAAGGATGGGGGCGGCAATGTTGCACTGGATCAAGGCGAATACATCAAACAGCTCCGTCCTATACAACATCCTGAACTCACGGGGGCAGACGCCGACGCCAAAGCATCAATGGTGGTTGCTGACACGCTTGTCAGCCTCAGCGGAGCGTTGGCTTACGCATTAATCACACATGTGTGGTTGATGGTATATGTGGTCTCTCTACAACGTGTCCAAGAACCGAACGTGTCCAAGAACCGACCAATATACAGGTGCGACGACTGAACGCCTTACCAGGAAGCTGCAGGCCTGTCCTAGGAAGATCGTCGATCGATCGATGACTCCAACGGGCGAAGTTGACCTGCACAGTGACTCCGGCTATCGACGTCTTAGTGGAGGTGCCGATGACGACGTCAAAGGCTATGTTATTCGCGGGGCAAACCTGCTAAGGCGTGGAAACACGCCAACTGGGACGCCTGTCGTCCATCTGATCGATGCGCACTGCAAGTCTCACCGCTTGCAAGTCCGCTCAAGCTACTCAGCAGAAACACTAGCAGCAGCCCACAACTTGGAGGACTGCTATCCCACGACCGTTACTCTGCACGAACTCCACGCAGGACCACTGACACCCACTCAGTGGAAAGGCATACTGGAGATGGGTGGCCTAGGCATTATGGTCGCTTTGACCATAGATGCCGAATCTGTCTTCAAGTCCTTGTCAAGCACAGACCTGAAAAATCCGACCTGGCGCACACTTCTAGGACACAACAGTTGGATACGACAGATGATGGAGCGAGGTATCGTGCATAGTATTCAGTGGTGTGACATTCGCGACATGACTGCGGACGGTCACGCAAAAGGGAGCATTGACAGAGATATGCTCCTACAGGTCATGGGAGGAACGCAATCTTTCAAGCATGACTTGAAACGTCATACTCCGTACCGGGCCGGCCAGACAAGATCGTCTGAGGCCGCTTGAGCAGCTTTCGCTTATACAGCGATCCGCTCGCAAGGTAACTTGCGTGCAAGGGCACTTGCGCGCGGGCTCACCTTCCTTATGCACCTGCCCTTTTGCTGCCTTTTGTTCATATGGTGTTTACTGCATAGTGGCGGCGGACCCACGCTTCGTCTCTTCCCCCCCGACTCTAAAGCGAGCTGGGACAAGAGCGAGAGATATCGAGCGTTTGTCCGCGGCCGCTTGGGTTCAAGCGGCCGGCCGCCAATATATGACTGCGCCTCATCGCGAGGCAAACGACTTGCCATCGAGACCGAAAACATTTTCGCTTGAGATGGCCCGTCGCTCCCGCGACGTCCTCTTACGTTTGGGACTATCGCTACTACGGTACAACAGAGTTGGATTTGGGTTTCGCCTTAGGCGAAGCTGCTGGTTGGGCATCCCAACCCCTTTCAAACTCGTAAACCCAACCAGACAGCAGAGGAGCATTCGAACACGATCCACCGCGCCGCGGGCACAGCGGCGGGCGCACGCGCTGGTATGTTGTGTTGCTGTATGGTATGCCACGCTTGGTTGCGTACTGCCATCATGCATTGCCATGTTTTTCGCAGTGCTGTTAAGCTCAACCATATGTAACGACGCGCTAGACTATAATGCATGCTATGCTTTGCAATGCTGCACGATCCTGTGAGGCCATGACGTGCCAGGCGCCGGTGTGCTGTGTACTGCTACATTGTGGCATGATTCGCAACGCATGACACCTCATCACGTTGAACCGCAGTGCATCGCACTGCACATGTGTGAAAAGGAATGCCCCTGAATTCGCGTCGCGCTGGGCTCGTTCATCTTGGGCCATGGCTGACCATTCTGGAGCCCAGAGGCCTTCAACACCCCAGAAGCAAATTCGAAGCACAGATGATCCCAACTCCCGTTCCGAGCCGCCAGAGGTCTGGGTCACGGGAGGGCCCCAGAGGCTCCTGGGGGGTTCGGCTGGCCGAGAACGGGCCGGGATGCGCTTCGATCCAAGAATCTTCGCCCTTCGATTGCGAATCGATCGTATCGACGGGAACACGCCGAATAGCATCGATCGTAGAGTTTCGCTCCTCGAGTCCAAAGACCGGTGCGGCGGCAGTCGATCCCAATATTCCGTGCACATCGGCAGCCAGTGCTAGAAGTAGTCCGAGATGCACTCTCAACAACAGGCGCCCAGTGAAAACGTCTTGGTCTGCAACTCTACCGCAGAGGAAGACGAGGAGGAGGAGGAGGAGGAGGAGGAGGAGTAGGATGTCCACAACCGCTTGGGCTCAAAGGGGGGCTTCGAACAGCAAATCCGCCCCCCTCCCGCTGGGCCGCGGGCGGCTCGGCTGCGAGTCTACCAGGGCCAGCTGCCGCCAGGCGCCTCCTGCGGCAGCGGCGCTGCCGCGTCCGAGGCCGCGCGAGTCGCCGTGTCTCTCCGCCAGACTTGCAGCTTGCGGCCGACGAGCCGCGCCAGTGGAGCCGCCAGCGGCGCCAATGGGCGCCGCCCGCTCGCTCTGCGACTGGCAGCCTGTCGAAGATGAGCTCGCAGCGGGTATGTCGGCGGGCCTGGGCGGCCGACTTTCCAGCAGCTGGTGTACATTGACAGGGATTTCGTTCAGAGCGCGAAGGAGGCAGCCGCCAGCTCGAGGTCCACGGTGGTGGGCTCGGGCGTGAGCGAAGAAAGCACCAGGTTCAGCACCAAGGCCATGCTCGTGCTTCAGACAGCCAGCGCCCAAAGCAAGCTACCGTCCCAGCTGGACAGGTCAAAGGTGAGGAAGTTCCAGTCGTCCATCGAGCAACAGGGCCTCGACGTCTCGAGGTGGGGCGACCAAGGCTCGAAGGCCTTGGACCAGCTCTACTGGGAGACCATGGAGCAGAGGGGCTGCCATTTTGTCAAGGGCAGCGACGGCCGACTGGAGAGGGTGGTTCGTTTGGTGAAGGTAAAGCTGGTGGCCGATATATTCGGGGTCGAGCACACGCTGTACTCGCGCATGCAGTTCATGCACGACGGTCAGCAGGTGGAGCGCAAGCAGGTGCTGCTGAGAAAGCTCAGGTGGCGCATTCATCCTGACGACGACACGCTCAGCGCGGGGGACATTAAGGGCGAGGAGTGCCAGCACACGGAGGATTGGCGGGAAGGGGCCAGGACGGCGCTGGAGGAGCGTCTCGGGTTGAGCCAGGCGTGGCAGCAGAGTTGTTTGGTGGAGGACGTTCATGCACACACATTCCACAGAGAGGAGAACGTCAAGAGTGACGGCTATCCTGGACTCAACACTTCCTATTGCATCCATTGGATCGCGTTGCGGGTCGTTGACCCTTGCTCGCAGGCGGTGTCCTGCATCGGCCTGCCCAACGGGCTGGAGTTCGCCTCGTGCGACAACGACTTCTGCTTCGGCACACAGGGTATGGACGACCTCGGCCTCCCCATCGGCTCGCAGCTCAACATCTGGACTTGGGAGCGAGAGAAGAAGGACGTGACGACGAGCGTGGCTCGCCCGCTGCCGAAGCGCAGTCCCACGTCGGGCGTTCCCGAGGCGCATCTTACAGAGGTCGCGAGGTTCGTCAAGCGGGTGCCGTTGCCGGCGGTGTCCGCGCAGGCCCTGTCCGACCTGCAGCGCAAGCTCTCGAGCAGTTTGAAGTTCATGCCGCCCAGCTCGTCGTTGTGCTCGGCGATGGAGGGCAAGGAGACGGACTGGGCGAAAGCGAAGAAGATCGCCCAAAGCTTGCTGGACAGGAAGTACACGCTGGCGAAGTTTAGCGAGGATCTGGCGGCGTTCCCTGAGCTGCACCTGTACCTCCTTGACCACGCCAAGCAGCCGACCGATGATGACGCGCACGAGGCCGCTGGGATGGCCATGATGAGCTCTGGCCGGACCATCGGCGATGAGTATCAGCGCACCATCGGCACTTTTTATGCAATATTCTGGCTGCTGCGGCTGCACATGGATGGCAAGGAGGGATTCTGCTTCGGCGTGGACGAGGACTGGGTACCGCACAGCAGCAAGGCCGTGAACGACGTATACCTCGCGGACAAGCGTCTACTGTTTTTCCAGAAGGGCAACTGGAGCTACTTCGGGCAGCTTATGCGCGATGCTAAGCTGATATCAGAGGACGGGTGGGGGAGGGCCAAGGTGAACGAGAAGCGCGTTGTCTCCCTACTGGCCCTCACGGCCATCCACGACATCATGAAGATGGACATAATACTCCCTCAGGTCCAGCAACAGCATTCACCCTTCCGCGGGTACACTGTCGGGGACACGATCGGGGACCATGACCACGCTCTGAGCTACATCATGGCGTACTACCCGCACCTCTTGCCGTCCTTCAGGGGCTTAGGCGAGGACGAGCGCCGCGCTGTAGAGTTCACGCAGTGCAGGTTACAGTTCAACCACGGGTGGTTCGTCCAGGGCGAGGCGCCCCCAGGGGCAGTTTTTACCTGCTTCAAGGAGGTGCTGAAGGCAGAAAGTGTGCACGGCCGAATCAAGAAGGAAGATTTGGCTTTGTACTTCGTGCACTGGCTCACAGACCTCGCAGGGGCCGAGCCAACGCCACTCGGCGGGTGCGAGAAATTCGTGATCAAATTTCCGATGGTGGTGCTTAATAGCTTCCTGCGCTCCTTCGAATTCGTGGAACGGATCGTGGACGAGACTGAGACGCAAGTAATGGAGGAGTACCTCAAGATGAGGTGGTGCGAGAGTGTGCCCTCGCCAGGGGAGTTGCCGACCGGAGACGGCGCGGTTGCCAAGATGCGCCTTCTCTGCATGGCGCAGATGAACGCGGGGCTCGTGCTGAGGGCTGTGGACGAGGTCTGCACGGAGGACCGAGAGGTGCTCTACGCCGAGATGGCCCTCACAGGTTGTGCTGGTCAGCTTTACTCAGCTGGCATATGCCCCAAGGAGGTGCGCGAAAGGCCATACGGCCCGGCATTCCTGATCTACTACGGGCCCGCGTTCCTACAAAACATGGGCAACGACAGTCCTGCTGCGAAGATCAGGATGTTGGCCGAGATATACCGGCTCGCGCGCATCATTTGGCCAGCCCAGGCAGAGAAGGTAGCGCAGTACGTCACAATCCGGATAGATTGCATCAAGGAGATCAGCGTCGCCGACATACGCAAGGCGACGCTCAGCGGCGACAAATGGGTGATAGTCAAGCGCAACGAGACCGAGGCATTCGTGGAGCGATCCTCTCAGCGGAGACTGAATAAGATGATCAGGGCGAGGCAGCAGATGCAGATCCTTGAGGTCAGCAAGTTCGACGCAGATCCTAGCTGAAAGCAGCGGCCGCGGCTCAGCAATGACGGGTTGCGTGCGCGCATTTGCATTTGTCCGACACCAGCATTTCTGTCATGTATGAATGCGGGCATGGAGGTTTAACCGAATATGTTTTGGCAAAGGCCACATTTTGTTTCTGTCATCAATAGTTTCAGAAAGTGGGAGGGGAGTAAAGTTACAGAAAGTGGGGGACAGATGTAGGCGAGGAACACGGAACGTTACGTACGGCGGGGTGGGAAGGGTATTGACGATATTGTGTTCGCGTGAATCGGCTCGTGGATCGCGTTTTGATGCCGCACTTGGCGCTGACACCCAGCGCATCGCCTGAGCGGAGGAGGACGACGATGAGGCGTTGCGAGAATCGAGGAGCAGAGGTAGAGATGTTCGGGCGTCCGGGGCCGCTCCCGTGCTTCCGAAGGCCCCGGGAAGCTCTGGGGGGGATTCTCCTGCGGGCCGCCGTGGAGCTCCAGAGATCCCCGAGGACCCTCGCGAGACCTCCAGAATTAAGTCGGGCCTGTCCCCCTACAGGTGGATTTTCGACGAAAAATCAAACATATCCCAAAAATAATCAAAAAATAATCCAAAAATAGTCTGGGGACCATTTTGGGACTATTTTTGACCTCTTTGGGGCATTTTTGGGGTATTTTTCTTTTTGCGTCGAAAATCCCCCTGTAGGGGGACACGCCCGACTTAACCTGGATCGATTTCTGCAGAACGAGGAGGCGGCGGAGGACCGATTTGGCTGAGTTGTTTCAAATGTCTCTCGACTTGCCTTGCCAGGGCTGGTGATGTGCGACGACCTTCGGAGCCTTCGCATCCACTGCGCAGTGCAGTGGCAGGGGAGGATCGAGTTGTTCACCAAAAGCAGTGCTTGCATTTGGGGGATATTTCTCATGCTCTACGTTCTTGGAAGGGTGGTGTGCCGAGCGTTGGTTATACTGTGACTGATGATGTTGCACCACATACAGCGCACATCGGGCATGCAAGAGCCTACTGTTCGGGATCCGCCCTTGCAAGAAACAAGCATGTGGGGTGCTCTCGGAGCATGAGAAGACCTTCGGAGACGTCACAGTACTTCGACGGGCGTCCCAAGGCAGCTCGACAGCGAGAACGACGTAAGAAAACGGAGTCATCTGCGCTGGCATTCGCGCGTAAACCTCCCGCGTAAGGCCGCGCACAATCGCCCTCTTCTCCACGCGGTGTGCCTCGCTGGCGGCCCGCGTAAGCCACCGCGTAAGGTAGCTATGTCATCCCGCGTATGACCAGTTTATTGTAGTGGCCTCCGGCCAGTGCCGCCGATCCGGGGCGCTCCTGATGCTATTGTTGTTGAAATGGACGGTGACGACGACTACGGACGACCAACGGTAGATGAGCGGGATAATTACGACGACGACCGACGAAGGAGTTAATGACGACGACGACGAAGACGACGACGACGACGACGACGACGACGACGACGACGACGACGACGACGACGACTGACGGCGAACGGCTGCCGACGGCCGACGACCGACGACTGGTGACGGCGACGGGTGGAAGGTTCTTCGTTCATCGCTTTCGCTTCCGAGCAATACCAAGTCAGGCCGTGCACCTCTGGCCTGGCAGCACGCGAGTGAGCGCCTCTTGGGGCCTCTTGGTTCTTGGGGCTTCTTGGGGGCCTTTGGGGCCTCTTGGGGGCCTCTCGGGGTCCTCTTGGGGGCCTCTTGGGGACCTCTTGGGGGCCTCTGGGGGCCCCTTGGGGGCGCCTCGGGGGCATCTTGGGGGCTCTTGGGGTCATCTTGGGGTGGAGGACTAGAAGGGTCCGTTCGGATTCACCCTCTTGAGGCCATCTTGGGGGCCTCTCGGGGTCGTCTTGGGGGGCCTCCAGGGCTATATTGGGGCCCTCTTGGACCGTCTTGGCTCCTCTTGGGGGCCTCTTGGGCTGTCTTGGGGCGATCTTGGGGGCCTCTTGGGCCGTCTTCGGCGCTTCTAAGACTGAAAAGGCGATACTGTTAAAATGTTTCAAAACCTATTAGCAACTTTATTATTGTACCCTTTTGGGGCCCTCTTGGAGGTCTTCTTGGGATCTCCTTGACGCGTCTTGGAGGCCTCTTGGGCCGTCTTCGGAGCATATTGGGCGTCCAGGAGCGCTCTTGGGCCGTTTCGGGCGCCTCCTGGACCGTCTTGGTGGCCTCCTGGGCCCCTTTTGGCCCGTGTTGGGGCTGTTTGGGGTTCCCGGGTGGGGGGGTGAGAAAGGGTGGACCCGATGACCCCCCCCCCTCCCCCCTCCTACCTTGGCAGAGCCACCCCGGCCACCCCCCAGCAGAGCTGAAGCTCAGATTGTAGCTTTCTTAAACTCACACGCCGGATCGGCGGATTTTCGTCACTCACGTACCCCTACCTCCTCTCAGGAGGGAAAAAAACACACACAAACAATGAATCGTCGATTCCCAAGAAAAAATGCGAAAATATGGGAAGTGGGGGGGAAGACAGAAACCCAGAACATATTTGAAAATATGGAGAATCCTGGGCTTTGTATGTATTTATTTGTGTGTTTGTAGGCCCCTTCATCCTCTTGCAATGGTCTGGCTCCACGCAGGGGCCACGGCCCCAGCCCCGGGCGCACGGCTCCTCCTGCGCGAGGACCGCCACGGCAATCCGCCACAGGCCCGCAGACGCTGTACCGCAGCGCTCGGAGGCCACGGCTTCAAGCCTGGAACGAGGTTTGGTTTGGTTCGGCTGTGCACGGAGACAGGGTCCAGCTCTCTCTGCCGGGTGAGCACCTACCCCATTGGGGCCCGATGGTCGACCTTTGAGGAGGAGGAGGAGGAGGAGGAGGAGGAGGAGGAGGAGGAGGAGGAGTAATAGGAGACGAAGGTGGTTTGGGGGGCCAGAGGTCTCTAAAGGTCTCCTGAGATTGCAAAATGCTTCCACAGGCCCAAGAAAACAAAAATGTTCACAAAAAATGTCATCAATCCTGCAGGAGGCGGAGGAGAACGAGGAGGAGGAGGAGGAGGAGGAGCACCCCCCCTCGGCAACTGTCCGCCAGTGGCGTTAGGGTGGGCTCGTGCTCGCGCGGAACGGCCAGCCTCCCGCGGCCGCCCGCCCGCGCGCGTGCGCGAACTGGGGACCGCAGACGCCTCCGAGACAGAGGAGGAGGAGGAGGAGGAGGAGGAGCAGGAGCAGGAGCAGGAGCAGGAGGAGGAGGGGGAAGAGGCGGAGGAGGAGGAGGAGGAGGAGGAGGAGGAGGAGGTCCTTGCCTCCCGACGTCCACCCCGCCAGAAGGAGACCTTCAGCGTGGGAATTGCTATCCAATGCACACGGATGCCCATGGTGTTTTGCTTCCTGTAGGGCCCCGTGCGCACGCTCATTGCCCTGCGTTTGCTGCAACACTTGGTGTCCAGCCTGCTATGGCCTCCAGCAAGAAACCTCCTCTTCATCATCTTCCACCTCGTCCTCCTCTACAATGATCTTGCGGCATTACTACAATGTGACATTCCACACACACACACACACACACACACACACACGCGTGCCATTCAAAGGCTACGGCATGCACATGGCATGCAATGGTGCGCTGTGATATCTCATTGTGTGCGATGCAATGATCCGCGAGACGTGCTTTGACTACGGAACGCTTGACAGCGTGGACCCCAAGCAGTGAGCTCTTGCACTCCGGATGTGTACTCCATGTGATGCAATCCGTGTGATGCAAGGTCTGAGGTACATCTACGTGGTGCAAGCTCTCAGTGTGTAACCTAGGCGGTGCAATTCGTGTACGATTTATGTTTGGAGATTTGGAGCTGCCAACTTCAATGCTCGAGCAAGCATCACACCCACTCATCTGAAATTGATTGGCGAAACCCAACAAGCGCAATAACGCGATGATGCTTATCATGCAGATCCCTGATTCCAGCGGGCGAGTGATGATGGTGACCACGACATTGACGTTGACGACGGTGAAGATGATTATGGTAATGGTGATGGTGGTCGCGATGATGGCGAAGGCGACGACAATGACGATGACGGTGATTATGACGACGGTGGTGATGATGACGACGACGTTGACGAGGTGATGGCGATGGTGTGAGTGAGGATGATTAAGAACCGCACGCGTTCCGAAAGTCTGGCACGTTCTTGACTGAAAGACGAGTGGTCTTGCACATGTGTTCTTGAGCACATCGATGTGCACTCCTGCGGAACGGCCAGCCTCCCGCGGCCGCCCGCGCGTGCGCGAGCGCGAACTGGGGACCGCAGACGCGTTTGCGAGACAGAGGAGGAGGAGGGGGAGGAGGAGGAGGAGGAGGAGGAGGCGGAGGAGGAGCAGGAGCAGGAGGAGGAGGTCCTTGCCTCCCGACGTCCACCCCGCCAGGAGGAGACCTCCAGCGTGGGACTTGCTATCCAATGCACGCGAATGCCCATGGTTTTTTGCTTCCTGTAGGGCCCCGTGCGCACGCTAATTGCCTTGCGTTTGCTGCAACAACTGGTGTCCAGCCTGCTGTGGCCTCTAGCAAGAAACCTCCTCTTCATCATCTTCCACCTCGTCCTCCTCTACAATGATCTTGCGGCATTACTACAATGTGACATTCCACACATACACACACACACACACGTGCCATTCAAATGCTACGGCATGCACATGGCATGCAATGGTGCGCGGTGATATCTCATTGTGTGCGATGCAATGATACGCGAGACGTGCTTTGACTACGAAATGCTTGACAGCGTGCACCCCAAGCAGTGAGCTCTTGCACTCCGGATGTGTACTCCATGTGATGCAACCCCTGTGGTGCAATTTCTGAGGTCCATCTACGTGGTGCAAGCTCTCAGTGTGTAATCTATGCCGTGCAAATCGTGTACGATTCATGTTTGGAGACTTGGAGCTGCCAACTTTAATGCTCGAGCAAGCATCACACCCACTCATCCGAAATTGATTGGCGAAACCCAACAAGCGCAATAACACGATGATGCTTATCACGCAGATCCCTGATTCCGGCGGGCGAGTGATGATGGTGACCACGACATTGACGTTGACGACGGTGAAGATGATTATGGTGATGGTGATGGTGGTCGCGATGATGGCGAAGGCGACGACAATGACGATGACGGTGATTATGACGACGGTGGTGATGATGACGACGACGTTGGCGAGGTGATGGCGATGGTGTGAGCGTGGACGATTAAGAACCG